CCTTCTGACAGCTTTTCTACTGGCCATCATCTTGAAACCATGCAAAAAGAACCTGTGGAAGGAAGTATTCAAGAACTGACCCAAGTCAACACTGATATAGATGATGAGGAGGGTGAAATTGTGCCTTGGAAATCTCCCTCTGATCAGTCCCACAACTCAAAGAACGTTGAGTCTTCAGATATATTTGAGTCAAACATGATGAATGAGAACCAATTTAATGCACTTTGTTCCAGTGAAGATGAAGAAAATATTATCAATAACATGAACAAATTGAACTTGAATGAATGTATAGTGAATCATGATGAAATAACTTTAACTCTGGAAGAGTATAAAAACACTTCTGAAACAAATGACCTGCTCACTTCCACAAAAGACAAACGGGTGGTCTGGCTGGACCCAGAGAAAGCATTTTGCACCCTTACGGACCGAGAGCAGTTAACTGTAGAGGACTGTTCTGTTGGGTCTTGTTTACGTCAGTTCACCCAAATGGAAAAACTCATTGGAGCAAATAAACTGCTATGTGAAGAATGCACCCAAAGACAATACAAGAAAGGATCAAAAACCAATGCAAATGGTAGTAAAACATTGAGATTTGCATTTACTAATTCAAATTTCATATGCCATGTGTGATTAATGCATAAATTTAATATTGTATAATTAATTGTGGAACAATTACGATTGGTATCTTTTTAAGCTCTTGAATGCTGACCCTAGAACATAGTTCAAGTTTAAATACTTAATATCTATAAGGACAGGATAATACTCATAACAAGTATCCCAACAGTAAAGTTACAACAATTTGGACTTGTGTTTTACATAGTAAAACTAACAAAGGTGCTTCACAAAAGTGTAGTTATTTTAAATATTTGATACCAAGCCAAAAAATAATTAAGCCAGTTCACCAAAAGTTTTGTGAAAGAAGTAGGTTTAAAGTAGTGTCCTAAGAGATGAAGAGACTAAGTTTTGGGAGAGGAATTCTAGAACTTGCAGCCCAGGTGGCTGAAGGCACAGCTAACAACAGTGGGATGAAGCTAGTGTGGCTGAGAGGGATTGCTGAGATTTTGGAGAGTTGTATGACTGTAAGAAGTTACAGACATGACAGCCAGCTCATGCAGAGATTTAAACAGGATGAGAATTTTAAAATCAATATGTCAGAGAAGAAGGGGGGCAATTCACTTCAATGATCAGGGGTATGATGAGTGAACTGGACTTGTTTGTACATTGGCATGAAGGCACCAGAGGTTTGGAATAAACTCCATGCTTATGGACCATGGAAAGTGATAAGCTAGCCAGGAGAGCATTGGTTTTCTTTTTTCATTCCAAAAAAGTGTACGTGGAAAGGCAGAGTTAATATTCAGACCAATATCTTAGTTATCAGAGCAATGAATAATTGGGTTTGGAGCAAATGAAAGCATGGGTGAGGGTTTCAACAGCAGATAAACTAAGGAGCAAATAATGGCAGTATTATAGAACTGAAAGTGGGCATTGCTTCTGATTAAGGGGTAATGGTTTGGGAGCTTAGCACCAGATCAATTAGAAGCTGAAGCTGTGAACAATCTGATTCTCATTGAAATAGGGCCACAATGGAAGAAGGAACTGATGTATCAGGATCCAATTACAACAGCTTCCCAATATTTATTTGGAGGAAAATTCAACTCATTCAAGACATCAGAGAGCAGTTTGACAATACTGAAATAGTGGAGGTTTTGATATGTGTGTGGTAGAGCTGGGTATTGTCAGCGTTTATGTAGACCATGATGTATTTTTGGATGATGTTGCCAAGGAGCATCATGTAGACTATAAAAAGAAGGCCAAGGATAAAATCTTAGGTAGCAGTTCAGGAATGGGAAGGCAACTAATTTTGCAAGACATTATTTGACTTAGAGTAAAATAGACTAGGGTCTTATCGGCCAGCATCATAAAAAATTGAAAAATTTAGTTTTACACTTGTCAAGATTTTAAGACCAAAATAATATAACATTTGTGGCCAATGGAGTAGAGTAAAATGTAACCTAATAATGGCAGATTAATATTCAAACCAGTCAGAACCAAATAATAATCGACATTGAGATGTTTGTGCTTGATTATGTTCTACAAATCTTACAGCAGTTGTTTTGCGAAGGTGTTTGCAAGCAAAGACTTTAACTTTAATTGGAATTTAATTGACTCATTTAAACTTGCTTCTCCATCTTAAAAAAAAAAAAATTTCAGATGAGAAGAAAGTGTACACGAATGCCAGAAAGCAAATGCTTATATCATCTCCTCCTCCAATTCTTACACTTCATTTGAAAAGATTTCAGCAGGTAATTGTTTAATTTCTTTCTCCAGCTATATCTATGCATTTGGTAGGTGTCTGCGTTTCTGAATTTTGCAGAGAATGTCTGCATTTGGCAGAGAATTTGTTTTATTTGCAGAAAATCAACATGAAACCGGTCTGATACCCAGACCTTTACCACAACTTGGTAAACATTTGGAAAGCGTCTATTGTGATGTTTGTCGTGTATCAAGGATTCTATTTCCCGTGCACATAAATAATTTCCTACAAGTGACCAGAATAGATAAGGACTTTTGCAAACATTGGCATTATAAAAAAATCTGTTGAATTTATTGCAACTTTTGAGCAAAGTGCAAAGTAAGCATTTTGCCAGTATAATATTCTATTGGCCTAAATGTTAGCAACAGTTGAGTATTCACTTGTGACCAGACTATATGAGAACTTGTATTGCTAGGATTGTCAATGTTTAAGTTATTCATTTAGTGAAATACATTTTGCATAAGTATAGCTGGCGTTGTCAGCTGCTTAGCATAGTCAAAAATGCATTAATGACTGAAATAAACATGGTCTAATTGTAAATGCTTTCTTCCTCCCCACAGCTAGGTTTCAATCTTCGCAAAATAAACAAGCATATTCATTTTCCACAAGTACTTGATCTTGCTCCATTCTGTGCATTAAACTGCAAGGTAAGAACATTTAAAAATCAAACCTGATTACGCCAGTTAAGGCTTCACAGCTGAGGTAGTGGACTCTGCAGTGTCCTTGGGTTTTATTTCAAATTTAAAACCTTTTCTCTTTCTTCACAATTTGTCTCCATTCTTCTCTCCTTTTACTTTACTTTGTGAAAGTGAGGACTAGCATCTGTGATTTCTAAATGTGTTTGAAGCATTGTTGTTGACAGATTCTTTTTCATCCCCCCACTGCATTGTCCACTTCTTTTAACAAAGAAAAAACAACCCATGTTTTGTTCAGAATGAATATTTCAAAGATAACTTAGTGCTTTTTTGATTGGAGTTTGGATTTTGCATATGCATTCTATCTCCTTTCCTTTGAAGGTAACTACAACTGCATAAATGTATTCAAGAAAGTTGTCTTCATTGAGTGAATTAAGGATTGAAGTCAGTTCAACTTAATAATTATCTCCTTGTGTTCCATAATGCAGAATGTGGCAGAGAACTGTACAAATGTATTATATAGTCTGTATGGAGTTGTGGAACACAGTGGCACGATGAGATCAGGACACTATACAGCTTATGTCAAGGTTCGAACTCCCAGCAGCTGCCTTACTGAATACGCAATGACGAGATGTACACTGTCAGGTAAGTGACATAACCTACAACCCACAACCCATTTATTTTGGAGAAGTCAATACAGCCAAAGTGCTGGAGTCTCAACAGATCTGGCAGCATCTGTTAAAAAAAAAAGACGAGGAGTTAACATACAGTCCATGACTCCTCTTTGGAACTGCCGCAGTTCTCCGCTTCGACGTAAAAGATGAGAGATAGTTAACCTTTCCATTTAACAGCCTGAATCACTAAGATGTGTTGCTAAACTGATTTAAATCTCAATGTCAGGTAAAGGTATTTTAAAAAGATTTAAGCAGTAACTGAATTTTTACAGAAATGTTTCAAAGTTTTTGGAATTCAAAATAAAAGAATTAAAAATAGTTCTATTTGAAAATTTACAAATTTTCAACATTTGATAGTCTGTATGTAGTTCATTTTTGAAACAAGTCACAGATTACTGATTAGAACTAAAGAAAAATGCAATTTAAGGTTTGCATAATCAGTTTAGAATTTTTTTTTTTTTTTTTTTTTAAAAAAACAGAATTCAAAGGAGAGTCACCCACGGGAAACTGGTTCCACATAAGTGATACCCGTGTGCAAGCTGTACCAGAGACTAAAGTTCTAAGTGCCCAGGCCTACCTGCTCTTTTATGAGAGAATTCTCTAACTGTCATCTATGAAACAATACATCAGTTTATGTCCAAATTGACCACTTGTTAATTTCTGGCAGAAAAACAGAAAGTAGTATCCAGGTTCTAAATCTATGCAACATTGAGATTAAATAATTATTGCCTATAGTTTCACAAGGGAAGGTAGAAATGGCTTGTACTTATGAACCCTCATGTACTATTGTAGGTTAAGAAATGTTTATTAAGCAATACAGTAATTGAGTGTAAGCCATACAAAAATAACAATGTATTGACAAGATGTTTTGTGCTTTACACAAAATATACAAGATTGTCAATGTTCACATTTGATAATTTTTAAAGTATTAAATTATTCTACTTGTCTACATGTTGTGAAATGATGTTTGAGCTTGAATGTCAGGAAGACAACTATCTGTTGATCAGACCAACTGACTTTCACTCAAGTAGAGGGTTAACCATTGGCAGCTGCTTGAGTTAAAACTGAACTTAGTACTTGTTTCAATGTATAATGTAATGTTGTACAGTTCATTGTAAAGTCACAGGCAATTAAACTTGAATAAAATGTGTTTATATTCCTTGGGTAATGTGTTTTAACTGTTAATTGTGAGAAGTTAAGTACTATAACCTTGCATTTGACAAATTACCTCGTGCCAAGTTCTTCTCACATTGTGGTCTATTTCTGCTACTTTCCCTCAAACCCAGACAACTTTCAATGCTCTTTGCACGGGCTGACAACAACTGTTTTGAAAATATCTTCCCTGATGTCTACTTCGAAACTGATTTGACCCAGCTTCCATAAATGTGATCAAATTTTTTAATATATAAATGACTAGGGCATATTTATCCACTTCAGAATGCAAGATTTCTAGAATGATTTTACAATACAAACTAGATAGATATTAGATTCAATACTGGCTGTTCCATAATAGTACAACTTACTGAAAATTGAACTAATTCCAAACCATAAACAAATGGAATTTAATGATATTAAGTTACTATGCACCGGTTATCCTCGTATGACTTCCAAATTAACAATAAACAAGTACAAGCCTGTTTTGGGAGCTAAATGTATTTATTAGACAGATCAATACAAGAATTTTCAGACCTTTGAGCATAGTGCCACAATTTTTTCAGAACTAGGCAAGCTGCATAAATAAAACCTTCAGATCCAATTTGCACTGAAAACTAGGGTTTCTGCTCAGTACATAAAGACGTATAAATGCATCCCGAGATGCTGAACTGTTCATTCATTTTGGTCATCATCCCAGTCTTTCTTCTGTGCTGGTGGTTTAGGCCCACCTGCCTGTTTTGCCATTATTATCTGCAAGGGGGGGGGAAAAAAAGAAGATACCAACCAGAGCTGTTTTCAAAAAATATTCAATTAAATATGAAAGTAGAGTTTCTTATGCAACATTCACCTTAGAATTAAAAACCTCAACACTAAACACCCTTCTGATGTTGCCATTTTTAATCAGAAAAATAGGTTAAAGAAAATGCTTTCCTTGTCAACTTGTTCAGAGATGTTCTTCCATACCTCTGAAGCATAGGGGACTTGAACCCAGTCCTCTTGATCCAGGGGTCAGGAGATTACCACTGTGCTACAAGAGGGCCCTCAAAAAATAAGGAAAGCTTTACAAATTTGCATGTCATCCTTGTGACAGGGCAAGGGTAATCTCTGTGGAAAGCATTAACATTAGAAAACAATGACACTTAAAATTAATTATGTTGGTTACATGTAACCAAAGTAAATTTTTAATGTTACACAAGCACTATTTTTGGCACAATAGTCATGCCCCTATCCTGGACTAGGAGGCCTTGGTTCAATTCCCACCTGCTCCACAGATGTCTCTGAATAGGCTAATTAGAAAAATAGGTTAAATTTAAAAAGCCTTTTAGTAAAGGCCTTGACTGAAGCTAAAATCAATAGCAAAGTGGTACTTCTCACATCCATTCAGGGTTAATAAGGAATATGAAGTTTATGCTTAAAAAACCTTAAAAACAGATTCAAAATTTTTCAAGCTCTTCACTTTAGGAGACACTTGAGTGATGTTTCAAGACCACCTGTGGAACCAGGCTGTAACACGAAAGAAATCCTAGCATTATTGGACATTGAAAAGGGGACATCTAAAGGAATCAAACAAAATCAAGATTGGTTCGAATTTTGTTCATTTAGATATTTTCTCATCAACTTGTTCTGAAATGTTATTACACACCTCTGAAGCAGGTGGGACTGGAACTTGGGCCTCCTGGTCTAGAATAAAGACACTACAACATCACCTTACTAGTAAGGCTACGGGTGATACAAGTGACCTAGACAGATACATGTATTAAGTATCTTTACAGAAAGCCAAGATCCTGGATTCTGAGCTCAAGCTGTGGTTGGAGTGACTCTGGCACATCACAATGCTGAGAGCTACATAGACAGCATATTCAGAGAGATAGTCACACTAAAGACCAGGAACATGGAAAGGCACAAGCAGCTCTGGTCCATGTAATTCCAAACCATCGTGATCATTACTCCTCCAGAATTTTAACACACAAATCTCATACATGAAATATTGCAAAAGACTTTACTGGTATCTCAAAACTGATTTCTGGCAACTAGATTTCCAGGTTATACCTTTTAAAAGGTGCCAAACTTTATGATTCACAATGGAATCTAAAGTAAAATGTTTACATAACTGTAATCCCGCTCCCTCCCCCTCCGCCACCACACCAGCAATCTGGTAACCACTCACCTGATCTACTCTCAGAACAGTTACAGCAGCATTTGTGGCAAGCTTAATTCCCCAGTATTTAACCAAGTATGGGTCTACTATTCCAGCCTCAAGCATGTCTTTTAGCCTTGAACCATCACCCTGTAAAAAAGAACACAATGGAATGAAGTAAAACAAATTAGTCACTCTTTGCCTACTTCCTAAATAGGTTACTACTAGGGGTTTAAGAACTTATTTAAAAAAAAAAACTAAAACTAGGTTTCATGCCAATCCAGCTGCTTGGCAGTTTACAAATTTTCTTAACGATGTTAGTGAAGCTTCAAACCCTTCACTTTTCAGCAAGATATGGCATCTGGAGTAACATGCTTGGTAACATTTAGTTTTTGTCTGACAATATCCAACTAAGATTATAGTAACTTTGGTCTATCAACATGTTTATTATGGAAATTACACAATGTAGACATTACAACAAATTTTCCAATAAACTTGAGACAGTGAAGCATAAACACTAATTCTTGAGCACCAAAATACAATAAACTGCTTTGATTTAAAACATCTTGAACATAAAGCTCTTGGTTTTCATTGTATCTGACAAAAGAAGACAAAGAAACTTAACTACTAGTTATAGCACTATATAAAGCAACAGTCTGAAGAAGAGTGAAAAATGCCATAAAATGCACCCTTGTGTCAAGCTGCATTTTCCCATTAATCAGTCTACCTTTCTCCAGATGATAATGAAATCATTGTTTAGTTACCTCAATATCAAAACCAATATTTTTGTTTCCTTCCTGATGTACAGCATACAACTTTGAAATTATTTCATTAGCCCGAACACCAGAGTTCTCAGCCAAAGCTCGTGGAATACTTTCAAAAGCTTCTGCAAACTTCTTGATGCCATATTGCTCAAGACCAGGACACGACTGAAGAAACAAAGGAATCAATTATTCATTTCTAAATGGAAATTTCTTAAAAAGCACAAAGATTGTTTCCTTCCATACCTCTCCATAAGTTGTGATCCGCTTAGCCAATTCAATCTCAGTTGCTCCTGCACCTGGTACACAGCGTTTATCCTGTCAATTGCAAATGTTGTTAATAAGAATTTGCTACATCTGAGCAAATTAAACTGTTTAATGTGCAAATGTGAATTGTAGACAACCACAGATATAGACGTCCTCAGTTATTGATGACAATTCATCCAGTTAAAACCAAGAAGGCAGTCAGCATGAGTGTATTCAACAGTCTTCAAAAGCAGACAGAATTAGGCCAGAGATGAAAAATTAATTTATAAACACTAATGGGCCGGACCAAACCCCCTCAAAATATATTTAAGTTAGACCCAAACATTTTCTTTCTTTAAAAAGAGATAAATTACAAGTGTTACATTCCAAATGCAATTCGATTGGTCAAACCACTTGGCGTTAAACATAATACACTATTTTTTTACAGTACAGATAAAATAAAAAGAATTGACAACTGTAATTCTATCAAAATGCTTAACGAAGTAATATATTAACTGCTACTAATTAACTGTTCCAATATAGCAACGTCCCATAAACACACCCTTAACAAACGCAAATTCAGTAAAACAGATTCACGTGCAATTCTAGTAAGCAGGAAGAGAACCCAGCTTTTAACTAACAGAGGGGAATAAGAGCTTCCACATCCAGCTTTGAGAGCCAGCAACTGCAGAAAGTTAAAACTAAAACTCCTGGTTCTGTGGGAGCTCGAAACCACCCATTCAGGTTGCTTCTATTGTTGCAATTTTTTAAAAATCCCCAAGACTTCACAAGCTGTTTCTTTTATTGGCTTTAAGCAGACAGCTCTTCACTTCTGTCTCAACCTTTCTTCACAAAAAAAAGAAAAATACACCTCTTAAAGCCATAGTATCATCACAACATTAAATTCTAGAACACTTGGCCAACTCTCAAATGATACCCAAGTGGAGATAGCCAGCAGTTTTGCAGGAAATACTTACAGTTGAAGCAATAAAAGAAATTACACGCATTTATGTCAAGTATCAACTCAACCGTTTCAAATATAAAATGTAAAGCTTGGATGATCAGATAATAAAAATTTATGAACGTATTCAAAGATTGAAAGGAAAACCCTTACAAGGTGAAATTTGAAGTGACAGATATACGGCACCTTTGTAAGAACTTTAAAAGTGTTGACACCATCATCCACCGCCCTCTCAACATCATCCATTATGTTATCTGTAGAACCACGAATTACAACTGTAGAAATTAAACCATCTTCTTTATCTACAACAAGACAATCAAGCAATTAAGATTTATTTAATGGAAGGTAATGATTTCAACTTTGTCCAACCCAAGAAATAGAAATGGGCAATAGTAGTTAAGCAGACATTTTGTGACATGTAAACAGACATCACATTTAAGTCTTCTGAGTTTAGCACAGAATTTTGGATGGAACACTAACTACACCTTCTATACACTACATGAGGCTGGAAATACTTTAGTCATGGATTTCTTTCCTTTATTAAAATTTTAATGAACTGGCCACAAAATTTCAAGTTGTTACATTAAGAAAAATTTCTTACATTCGCTAGCTATAGTAGGACTCTAAATATACAGACAAAGACAGGAAATTTCCACCTTACAATTATGTACAAGAAACTCTATAGATATAAAAGATATATTTTTGAAAAAAAAAAAATTATTTATGGCTGACCAACAAACAGGACAGTCAAAAATGTTGACGTGTTTTCTGTAAATGATAGGATATGGTTCAATATAGTAATATTCTCCACAGAAATATTCTAAAAATCTGGTAATATGATTTAAAAAGAAACAAGATTCTGGATTCAAGTTCCACTTCTCGACATGAACCCAAAAACAAAGG